ATTCCTCAGCTGAAAAATTAAGATTCGGGAAGCAGAAGATCTATACATTTTAGAATTTGATGATTCTTTATATTTAATTTTCCTGCTCCTATCTCCACAAAGTACACATATAAATATATTATTATTAAAGTAAAAATGTGAGTAATGTACTCAGGAGGAATGAGTAAAAACTGTGATAAAGGTTGACATTTCATATTGGTCTGGGGTGGGAACAAATTATTCTTCACTGGGTAACGTTTTTACCTTTTGAATTTTACCTTTGATACCTTTAACCTTTTTTTTTTTGAAAAACAAAAATATAATTATATTAAGGTTCCATTTATGTTTCTGTCAAGATTAATCAACAGAACTAAGCCAAATCAGATCTAAAATTTGTTATCTCATTTGAAGAGAAATTCATCAGAATTACTTAATCAGGAACACCCATCCAGTCATTTGATTTGTTAGTTCTACTTAATCATCTAATCATTCAATGTCTCATTAACTCACTCAAATCTTCATTAAGCACCTATTATATACCAAGCATGACAGTATGTCTGGATATTCAGAACTGAATAAAACATGTCACATTTTCATACTCCTAGCTTTTTAAAAAAGTGTATACTTATTTCATAATTATTGCAGCTTTTAATATATATATATATATATATATATTTAGAGAGAGAAGGGAGAGGAAGAAAGAGAAACAAGGATCTGAGAGTAGAACATCAATTGGCTGCCTTTAGCACACACCCTAGCGGGGGGATTGAACCCGCAACCTGGGCATGTGCACTGACTAGGAATCAAACCAGCAACCTTTTGGTGCACAGGACTACACTCAACAGAGCCACACAGGCCAGGGCCATACTCCTAGTTTTTTTGATCTACCTGCTTTCTTAATTCAAAATCCTCCCTCCCCTCTCCTGCCACTTACTGGTATACTCTGTAGAAACAAATTCAGAAGCTGTATACTCTGTGAACCTTTACTGACAAACCACCCGTAGAGTTAATAATTCATTTCTTCCTTTAAACTCTCTATTTCTGTTCCTATGCTGATTTTAGGTCATTTGTTTTGTTTGTGTGTCTGTCACATCTACTAGCCTGAGATGTCCTATTGTAACAGAGGGGAATCAAAGCCCACCCCACCATTCTTTTGACACTGTTTCTGTAAATGCTGACTCTGCCTAATATGTTGTAGAAAACCAGCATGTTTGTATAAGAATCCCAGGAACTAACTTTGTAAGATACAGACTCCAACCTTCAGTTATCCCAGTTCTAGAAGAATTGCTGACCTTCAACGGTAAAACCAGGAGGATGCACACCAGACCATCACTGGACCAGCTTCTACGTCCTTACCAGCATGGACTGTGACGTGCTCATCGAGAACTTTTCCCTTGATCTCTTTGTTCTGCTTTCCCTCTGCCTCCTTACAAAAATCTCTGCCAGTAATGAGATATGGAGAAGGGCTTCAGACAAGAGTCCCCTATCTTCTAGGGTGGCCAACACCTGAATAAACCTCTTTCCTTTTCCCACGCCCTGTCTCACAAGTCTGGCTTTCATGGCAGCTGGCAGCTGAACCTTGGTTTCGGTTACACAATGTGCATAAAATGTATCTACCCTGATTTTGATGTGGCTCTTCTGTAATCCTAAGTATCCTACAATTATATCTATCATAATACTTTCTACACTGCACTCTAATAGTTAATTAATTAGCCTGTCTTTTTGATTGGATGCTGAACTCTGTAAGAGAAATGCACATGTTAAAATTTATTTTAATTTGTTTCTCTAGTATAAACAACATTCCACAACTTATACTGGACATTCAAACGTCTGTTAATTTTTGACAAAGGTGCCAAGAACATTCAATGGGGATGGAACAGTCTGTGCAACAAATGGTACAGGGAAAACTGGACATCCACATACAAAAGAATAAATGTGGACTTTTACCTCATACCATAGATAAAACATACAAACAAAAACCAACCTCAAAATGGACCAACAACCTAACTACAAGAGCTAAACCAATAAAACTCTTAGAATAAAACATAGATCTTGAAATTAGCAATGGATTCTTAGATATGAACAACAGAAAAAGAAAGATCAATTAATTATCAAATTAAAAAATGGGCAAAAGACTTGAATTAACATTTTCTCAAAGAAGACACACAAACGGCCAACTAGCATGTTAAGAGTTGCTCAACATCAATAATAGTTATGGAAATGCAAATCAAAACCATACCCAGTAGGATGGCTATAATAAAAAAAATTAAAAAATAAATAAAAGTGCTGATGAGAATGTGGAGAAACTGGAGCCCTTGAGCACTGCTGAGCACTGCTGTTGGGAATGCAAAATGGTTAGGCCATTTTTTTAAAAAACAGTTTGGTAGTTCCTCAAAAAGTTATACATAAAATTGCCATATAACTTGTAATTCTGCTCTTAGGTATATATCCCAAATATCTAAAAACAGGTACTTGCACATAAATGTCCATAGCAACATTATTCAAAAGGTGAAAACAACCCAAATGTCCAAAAGATGAATGGAAAAGAAACTATGGTACTTATATACAGTGGAATATTGTTCAGCAATGAAAAACAATGAAGTACTGACACATGCTACAAAGTGGGTTAACCTCCAAAACATTATGTTAAGTGAATGAGTCAGACACAAAAAGTCATGTATTACATGAGTTACTTTACATTAAATATCCAGAACAGACAAAGCAGATTGGTGCAGCCAGGAGCCATGAGGAAGGCAAAATATGCAGAGAAACTACTTAATGGGTAAAGGGTTTTAGTTTGGGGGGAAGAAAATATTTGCAATTGGATAGAGTTGGTGGTAATAGATAGAGGTGGTGGTTACAAAATATTGTGAATGAATAAAATGTCATTGAATTGTTTACTTTAAATGGTTAACTTAATGTTATGTGAATTTCAACTCAATCAATTAAAACACACACACACACACACACACACACACACTGTTTATTAAATAAACTGAGGAAAGAATAGGAGAAATATAGCTGAGTTAAGGCTAGATGGTCATAAAGTTTCCGGGGAAAATTAGGCTCATCTTCTTTGTTGATGACAGACTTTGTGGTTTTGAAGAAATGATGACTTGTAAGTTTTTTAAGCTGGTTCTATCTAAATCTGAAAACTAAGTGAAGTGGAAGAATGAGGGAACTTGATCCTGGTGGAATCATGTGATGTTAAGGATCAGGACTGGTGTGCTGGATGTGCAGTATGCACCAAGATCCTCCCTTCAGGACCAAAACATGCTTTCCCCCAGCTTCCAGACTGTCACCTGCTGTTGGCTCAATGATTGCACCTCTCTCCTGAATGTACCTGGGTCATTTGTGTAAGATTTTTTTACGAGAATATTTTTTACTCCTCCTTAGGGGCACACTTAATCACTTGTCAATGAAGGGCTATAATTATTCATTTTATAGCATGAAAGCACTTAGTGTTAGGAATGAATCAATGGAAAGGATGGTGACGATCTCTGTCCTTAGGACCTAGAAAATTAGATAACTGTCTTACTTAGAATTAAATATGCTAAATGCCATAAGAGTCCACATAAGGGAACCTAATGTTCTCTCCTTAGGGCTCCGGGAAAACATGATGTCTGCTCTGAGAGTTGAGGAGGCAAATGAAAAGGGTGGGTTAGGAGAGTTCCTGGCAAAGAGAAGATCACATACAAAAGCCTAAAAATAAGAGATGCTCTGTCTGAAAGAAGCTAAGAGAAATTCATTATGAATAGAGCACATGATGACAGAAACGAGTGTGGGCACCTGAAAATGAGGAGCCTTTTAGGGGTATAGACTACCAGGTAGTGTTTGGTTTTAGGCAAACCACTTATCTTGTCTAGGCCTTAGTTACTTCATGCATAATTAGGGAAAACAGTTCTTACCTCTATCATTATTGTGAAATTAGGTAAAGTGATAAGCATTATATAATCTACTAGTGGCCCTCTGCACAAATCCGTGCGCAAGTAGCTCGCTGCCGCTTGCCTCAGCTGGCCGCCCCACCCACCACCGCTCTCTGCAGCAGGACATAGCTCGCTGCCTCGCCCTCCTGCTGATTGGTCGTTATGCAACACGGCGTAACGACCATTTGCATATTACCTCTTTATTATATAGGATTATTGATGTTATCACTATTATTAATGCCAAGACTTGGATAAATATAGTTTTGGTGTTAAAGGAACAGAAACCCAAAGCAATCACCATTGCAAAAGGCATACAACAAAGTCTACACACAGTGTTTTAAAGAAATCCAATTAACAAATCAACATGGTATGTTATCAGCAACAGATGTTATTGAATCATATAAATCAAAAATAAAAACAGTGAAAAATAACACACTTTCTTACATCATAAAAACTGTTTACAACAGACAATGTATACTTTTTACAATATAAAAGTATCTTTAATGACCAGTACCTTCTTTCTAGAAAACAATTCTGTCCTTCTGATGAGAACCTCAAATAGCCCAGGTAAGATGGCAGTGGTTCTACAAATCTTACAGCTTACATTCAGGACTAATTCCATTTTACATTTTTCTGTGAACATACCTGCCTTTGGTTAAAATGAACTTTGAATAACCAACCAGTGTCATTTTTGCTTTTCTCCTCTTATTATTATGTGTGCTGCCAAAGCAAGCACTTCTCTTATTATTACAAGCAGAAAGCAGACACTTAAAACAAAATCTGACCTTGAATACAATGGATTTCAAGGGAAAATGTGAATGTAACCTTAGCCTGAAGTGGAACCTTTCAGCAAATAGCAAGGTTTAAAAAAATGCTAACACAATCTAAAATTTGCAATAATTACAGTGGAATAATAGGACTAGTAGATTTCCAGTAAAATCATGAAATTCAATTACAAAATATATTTATGTTTGTCATGCAGTGCAGAAGTAATACTAAATAAAACCTTCAGGTTGGGCACGCTAACGATTATACCACCAACTGACCTGGCAAGGACATACACAAAGTGCGGCAAGTTTCTCCATCACTTCCTACCTGCTGGCCATATTCCATTCCAGGGCTGGGTTCTGAGAATTCCTTTCGCTCTCTGTTAGCACCCCTCCTGTGCCAGTTTCCTTCTCCGGTTTTAGTTGATCCCATTGCGCAGTACCAATATTGATAGACTGCAGGTCTATTTGGTATTGTCTATCTTCAATTTCCGATCCAGGGTCACGAAGAATTCCTAAGTTCAAGGCTCTTCTGTAAAGGCAGTGGGGAAAACGTACATAGTAATGTCAATTTTCTATGATTATTTTGTTCACTAACATAGTATTATCATTATTTTTCCCCTTTGGGTTACTGATGCATACACTGGGTTAATCAAATCTATGAGGCATGTATTGAAAAGTTACCACAAATTATGACTTGAAAATGTATCCAAAAACCTATCACTTACTGTAACCTACTTGATAAGGAGTTAGTTACTCCTAGCTCTGTACTTTTTTTCCTAAGAACTTTCACACACATGATTTCAATCCTGGAGATGCTGAGGTTCTATTATCATCTCCATTTTTATTAAAGAGAAAGTAATTCAGAGAGGTTCACTTAGCCAAAGTGACCCAGATAGTAGGTGGCAGTTTTGTGACTCAAAATACAAGTTTTCTCACTCAAAAGCAAGTCTCCTTCCCAATGCTATCATGTACCTTCCTCAGCCTTTTGATGTCTTCTTAGGAAGAGTCTTAGAGCCTTGCTTCTTGGCTTTGATACTTTATATACCCAACTGTCATATAGATAAATTGTTACAAACACTGCACTGTTTACTGATGTAGAAACACTGTGAGGCTGGCCCATATAGAGTTGGGACTTTGATCTTATTGGACCCAATGCTCAGCAAAGAAATCAAATTACCAGTGGCTTAAAGCTAAAATAGAGGAAGAAAATGGTTAAATTTTTCATGAAGATTATAGAATGAAAATAGCAAGGCAGTATGGTAGGGTGGGAAGGTTTAGGAGCCAGATCAACCTAACTTTATGGGAGTTTTCGAACGGTTTAATTTTGTAGGCTCACAAATACTTTAATGTGAGTTATCTAAAGGACAGTAATATTTGGGCTCCAAGAAAATGTCAACCAGTAAAAAGAAACCTGAAATCACATAGTGAATGAAAATAGTTTTACTAATATAGATACGTTAAAAACCTACAAATGCAGGTTTATAAAAAATACAATTAAATGAATTACATCAATTGAACACTAATAAAACTAATGGAGGGGGTGAGAAAGTTGAGTCCTAGTATGAAAATTGCAGAAAGAAGGTAAAAATATGATTAAGATGATGCCTTGGCTAAGTAAGTAGTGTGGGTCTGACCATGCCAGGAAGTTGGTCAAATATTGATCACTGACATTTAAGACAGGGGGTGTCTAGGCCAGTTGCCCAGGAGTGGAGATGGCATGCATTGGACCAAACAGGATGAGGGCTGAGGCTAATGAATTCAAGTGAAGAGAGGAGCAGGAAGAAGACTGAATTAAATGAGCAGGCAGATCACGTGGGGAGATACCAGAGGGAGTTACAATAAAGTAACAGGGAAACAGACAGGCATTGGTCAAGAAGCCAGAGCAGGAACTAGAGAAACAAAAATGGATGCATTTTCCTTATTCCTAAGGTAACAGGCAAACGTGGCTCTAACTTAGAAACATTACAATCAAGAAATGGGCATGCAATGAAAAGTGGCCTAAAGTTTTACATGAACACAATAACTGCACTAGAAATAGGGCTCATAACCCTGCCTGTGCTCCTAAGGTCTCTCTACATAAAGCAGTGATTTGTCAATCTTCTCCAATATATCATAATCAATAAATGCTGTTTCAATTCAGTGATTTTAACGGACACAAATCTTTACAAATCTCAAGTGAAGAAGCTAATCTGTCCATGGCAATAGAAAGCACATAGTCTTTAAACAGGAAACTTTTGATTCAGTTCCACATAAATTCTAAGTTATCTTGGGCACTTGGTGGCCTAACCTATTTCCCTAGATTGTTTTCCCCATAAAAAATTTGCATTTACTTATTTTACTCTAGACAGTGCTTCTTACAATGTAAATAAATTCCTTAAATATATTTGAAGGTGAACTACTTTAAGAATCCTTGAAAAAAGTATTTTTGAAAATACAATTAGTGCTATAATAAAAGACAGACAAAGCAACCTAGTCCAGCATTAACATCAGGCTTTCTGTTTTCCTGGGCACATGGAGAAATGGCATAATCAGAAGATTACAACCACAAAAACACTGAGTGTCATCAGTGGTTTTCATTTAGGCTTCAAATTCCCCATATTTTGTCTGGGCCGTATTCCTCCCGTCATCCATCTGTGGAAAACATGACTTTCCACAGGTTCTTCTTCCCAATGGAAAAATATATATAATGAGCAATAGCCAGATACTTCTAACCATGCTAATTGAAAATTTTCAAACTAAGAAACAAGATTGGAGAGTTTTTCTCTTTCTCTTTGCTTTTGAAATTAAGTTATATATTTGTCCTTTTAAGCTGATTTGAAAGTTCAGAGAAATATACAGTGTTTGGGTGTGTAAATCCAATTTAAAAGTTAATTGTGAACCATTTAAATGCAAGTTGCAGAGAATGGGTAAGCAAAAGATTCATGTGAACTTGGGTCTCACTTTCCATTGGCCATAAGCTTATAGAAATTAACTTTTCTGGGCTTGAGTTATTTCAATATTAAGACTAATATAGAGATAAATAAAATATATGCCTGAAAATTAAACTATTCTTAAGAGGTCCATTATAAACTTTATGAACATTCTTTAAGTATATTATCTTTAAAAGTTCTGAATAAATAGCATATCTAATCATCAACTAATCATAGATAAAAAGGCACCAAGATATAATAAAGTCTACTTTTCTAATTATGAAAAAATTACAATGAAACCGATAAAGATAAGTGTTCTTTAATATTTCCAGGGTCAACTGTTTCCAAAGTATGGAATATTAGAAACCCCGAATGAACCTTCTTCTGAAACAAGTAAAATGCTGAAAACAATTTAAAGTATCACTTTAAACACATCTCAGAGCTGGCAACAATGATCAGAAGCTGTAAAATCCCTCCAAAAGAGTGAACCAGCACCACTAATAACAACTAAGCGCCCAAAGCCAGCTTTCTGCTCTGATAACTGTGCAGGAAGAGATAAAGCTCAAGGCCCACCCAAGGTGATAAATCTACTTAATAGGAGACCTTGCTTATAAAGCTGGTGTTGCAAAGGACTACATCACCATGAAAAAATAGATTAAAAACAGCCCTCCTAGGAAGCCTTTTGGTGATAGAAAAGTTCTGTATGTTCATTGTATTGGTGGCTGCCTGACTCTACATATGTGACAAAATGCACAGAACTATGCACACATACACAGAAATGAGTGAACATAAAACCGGTGAAATCTGAATATGGTTGTGGTGGATCAGATTGATGCAAAATTCCTGGTTTTGATACCATACTATGGTAAAGCAAGAAGTTATGCAAGATCTGAAACAATAAAACTACTGGGAAAAAAACATAGGGGTACGCTCCTTGGCATCGTTTTGTTAATGAATTTTTGGATGTGACACCAAAGGCAGAGGCAAAAATAAAAAATAAACAACTAGAACTACATCAAGGTAACATGCTTCTGCAAAGCAAAGGAAATCGTCAATAAAATGAAAAGTCAACCTTTGGAATAGGGGTAAATATTTGCAAACCATATATCCAAAATACAGAAGAAACTCGTACAATTCAATATTAAAAAGAAAATAACCCAATTAAACATGGGCAAAGGATTTGAATACACATTTTTCCAAAGATATACAAATGTTCAATGGGTACATGAAAAGGTGCTCAGTATCTCTAACCACCAGGAAAATTAAAATTAAAACCACAATGAGACATCACCTTACACCTACTAGGATGCCTACTAGCAAAAAGACAATGGATATCAAATGGTGGTGGGATGTGGAGGAAAGGGAACCCTTGCACACTGTTGGTGGGAATGTTCACTGATACAGCCACTTTGGAGAACAGTATGGAGATTCCTTAAGAAATTGAAAATAAACTACCATCTGAAACTATCCTACTCCTCGGTATATCTCCAGAGGAAATAATTACCTAGAAGAGATATCTGCATTCCCATGTTCATAGTAGCATTATTCACAATAACCAAAATATGGAGTTAAAGTTAGAATGTAGAATAAGAAAAGATCAGAAAAATTTGGACAAATAACTTATAAAAAGAATGAATCCACATATAACTATAATCCCAGTAAACACAAATGATTTAAACTTCCCAGTTAAAAGATAGAGCTGTCAGATTGGATTTAACAAATCACAGTTTTATTCTGTGTGGGTTTTTTTTTAATGAAATATACCTAAAACATAAGTGCACAAGAAGACTAAGTGTCAAAAACAGGAAAATTTGTACTACGGAAACAGAAGCCAAAAGAGAGCTATAGTAATTATATTAACATTTGACAAAACAGACTTTAAGGGGAAAAATTATTAAAAATGCAATTACTACCTGAATATAAAAGATCCAATTTGCCTGAAAGTTAAGACAATTCTAAACTTATTTGTGATAATATAAACTCAAAACATAAAAGAGGTCACTTTGCTATACTCGAAATTGGTGCAGAAGAGTACTGAATACAAACTGTGGTTTAAAAATGAAAAAAAAAATATGAAAGAAAAACTGACAGATCTACAAGGAGAAATTAACAAATATATCAAACATGGTAGAAAATTTCAGCCCACTTAACTCAGAAATGGATCAATTAAGCACAACTTAATAAAAAAAAAACAACTAAGAATACATAAAATTTTAAAAAGTAATTCTGATGAAGTGGACATTTATAAAATACGGTATTCAAAAACTGGGGAATATACATTTTTCACAAGCACACAGAAACATCTATAAAAAACCAATAAATCACCTGATTGGCAAAAAAGTTAGCCTCAAAGCATTTCAGGGAATTAGTATCAGATGGATTATGTTCTCTGAGCTTAATACAGTGTTAAATATTTTATTTAAAAAGAGAACTGCAAAACTGCCTATTTGGAAATTTAAAAGCATATTTCTTAGTCACTCACTGATCAAAAAATCATAAAAAGTAAGAAATACTTAAAACCAAAATACTATGAATCACAGGTTATAGGATATAAAGTGGCAATAAGCGAGAACTTTATTGCTAAAATGTTTGTTTTAGCAAAAAAGAAAGGTTCAAAATT